TTGAGGTCTCCTCACACTCCTGCGGTTTTCCATTTTGACATAGGTTGCTGGCAGATTACAGGCCTCCCATAGGTGCTGCCAGGCCCCAAATCGGCCATGGGCCCTCGTACCGCCTGATCACGCTGCTGCTGAGCCCACAGTGTGACCTGGGTCCCTGTACCGCCTCCCATTGCTCCCACTCTGCCATGTGCCACTTTCAGGTCTCCTCACACTCCTGCTGGTTTCCATTTTGTCATAGGTTGCTGTATGGCCTCCCATTGCTGCTGCCTTCCACCGCCACACTGTGGCTCCAAACACTGGTTTTGGCCCCGTGACTGGCCAAATGAGTGAAGTGTGCGGTGATTCTAAGATCGACGGCACTCATCTGCATGTCATACTGACTGACAGTATTATTTCTCTTCCCCAGCAGACTCCAAGGGCATTTAAATTAAAGGTACAGTGTTCTGCACTAATATTAAGTCTCTCTGAAGCCTAGAAACACCCTTTTTTAAGTTTAAATTCACAGCGAATTTATTCGACTCGAATCGAATATTGTCCACGAATTCGCCGAATCAGTCGAATCGAATTTTTCAATACTTCGCTCATCTTTAGTTCTGACATTTGGGGGATATCTGTACTGTGCTGACATTTGGGGGATATCTGTCCTGTCCTGACATTTGGGGGATATCTGTACTGTCCTGACATTTGGGGGATATCTGTACTGTTCTGACATTTGGGGGATATCTGTACCGTCCTCACATTTGGGGGATATCTGTACTGTCCTGACATTTGGGGGATATCTGTCCTGTTCTGACACTTGGGGGATATCTGTCCTGTTCTGACACTTGGGGGATATCTGTACCGTCCTGACATTTGGGGGATATCTGTACCGTCCTGACATTTGGGAGATATCTGTACCGTCCTCACATTTGGGGGATATCTGTACTGTCCTGACATTTGGGGGATATCTGTCCTGTTCTGACACTTGGGGGATATCTGTACTGTCCTGACATTTGGGGGATCTCTGTATTGTCCTGACATTTGGGGGATATCTGTACTGTCCTGACATTTGGGGGATATCTGTACCGTCCTGACATTTGGGGGGATATCTGTACCGTCCTGACATTTGGAGGATATCTGTACCGTTCTGACATTTGGGGGATATCTGTACTGTCCTGACATTTGGGGGATATCTGTACTGTCCTGACATTTGGGGGATATCTGTACTGTCCTGACATTTGGGGGATATCTGTACCGTCCTGACATTTGGGGGATATCTGTACCGTCCTGCCATTTGGGGGGATATCTGTACTGTTCTGACATTTGGGGGATATCTGTACTGTGCTGACATTTGGGGGATATCTGTCCTGTCCTGACATTTGGGGGATATCTGTCCTGTCCTGACATTTGGGGGATATCTGTACTGTCCTGACATTTGGGGGATATCTGTACTGTTCTGACATTTGGGGGATATCTGTACCGTCCTCACATTTGGGGGATATCTGTACTGTCCTGACATTTGGGGATATCTGTCCTGTTCTGACACTTGGGGGATATCTGTCCTGTTCTGACACTTGGGGGATATCTGTACCGTCCTGACATTTGGGGGATATCTGTACCGTCCTGACATTTGGGAGATATCTGTACCGTCCTCACATTTGGGGGATATCTGTACTGTCCTGACATTTGGGGGATATCTGTCCTGTTCTGACACTTGGGGGATATCTGTACTGTCCTGACATTTGGGGGATCTCTGTATTGTCCTGACATTTGGGGGATATCTGTACTGTCCTGACATTTGGGGGATATCTGTACCGTCCTGACATTTGGGGGATATCTGTACCGTCCTGACATTTGGAGGATATCTGTACCGTTCTGACATTTGGGGGATATCTGTACTGTCCTGACATTTGGGGGATATCTGTACTGTCCTGACATTTGGGGGATATCTGTACTGTCCTGACATTTGGGGGATATCTGTACCGTCCTGACATTTGGGGGATATCTGTACCGTCCTGCCATTTGGGGGGATATCTGTACTGTTCTGACATTTGGGGGATATCTGTACTGTGCTGACATTTGGGGGATATCTGTCCTGTCCTGACATTTGGGGGATATCTGTCCTGTCCTGACATTTGGGGGATATCTGTACTGTCTGACATTTGGGGGATATCTGTACTGTTCTGACATTTGGGGGATATCTGTACCGTCCTCACATTTGGGGGATATCTGTACTGTCCTGACATTTGGGGATATCTGTCCTGTTCTGACACTTGGGGGATATCTGTACCGTCCTGACATTTGGGGGATATCTGTACCGTCCTGACATTTGGGGGATATCTGTACCGTCCTCACATTTGGGGGATATCTGTACTGTCCTGACATTTGGGGGATATCTGTCCTGTTCTGACACTTGGGTGATATCTGTACTGTCCTGACATTTGGGGGATCTCTGTATTGTCCTGACATTTGGGGGATATCTGTACTGTCCTGACATTTGGGGGATATCTGTACCGTCCTGACATTTGGAGGATATCTGTACCGTTCTGACATTTGGGGGATATCTGTACCGTCCTGACATTTGGAGGATATCTGTACTGTCCTGACATTTGGGGGATATCTGTACTGTTCTGACATTTGGGGGATATCTGTACTGTTCTGACTTTCTTGGGCCTCAAGAAATTAGATTGGCTGTCAGTACTTCAGGATTGATCGGTTTTCAGATCTATACCATAGTTTGTGAACTCTATAACTCTCCTACAGACTAAATCATAAACACTGATTTGGGTTATTTTCACCAAAGACATGTAGCAGAATACATCTCGGCCTAAATTTATGAAGAACAATTATTTATTTGCAAACTTTTATAACAGAAACCAAGATAATGTGGTTTTTTTTTTTTCAGAAATTTTTGGTCTTTTTTTTGTCAATTTAACAAAAATTAAAAGCTCCAGTGGTGATTAAATACCACCAAAAGAAAGCTCTAGTTGTGTGAACAAAATGATAAAGATTTAGTTTGGGTACAGCATTGCATGACCGCGCAATTGTCATTCAAAGTGTGAGAGCGCTGAAAGCAGAATATTGGCCTGGGCAGGAAGGGGGTAAAAGTTCCCGGGATTGAAGGGGGTTAAGCAGATATAATTGATCTCATTTCAGTTCTCTGTGAAAAATTTTCTCCTCCGTCTCCCTGTTTATGAGGTGGAAGACATTTGTTCTCAGAAGAAGAAAACAGAAGTTTTTTCCTCTGAGAACAGCTGAGATTTGTGTGAAGGGGGGAGGGGCTGCCTGTGATCTCCGGAGATAATTGTGTGATTACAGATCACCTGAGATTAAACAATGTAACCCCTCGCCCTCCTGAGGATTTACCCCCTTAATGACCACGCCTCTTTTCGCTACTCGGCGCTGCACTAATTCAACTGACAATTGCGCGGTCATGCAACGCTGTACCCCAAAAAAGATTATGTTTTTTTTTCACACAAATAGAGCTTTCTTTCGGTGGTATGTGATCACCTGTGCACTTTTTATTCTTCATGCTATAAACAAAAAAAATACTGAAAATTTTGAAGAAAAATGATATTTTTTACTTTCAGCTATAAAAAATATATAGTAAACTCAAAGTTGGTTATAAATTTAGGCCAAAATGTATTCTGCTCCATGTTTTTGATTAAAAAATCCCAATAAGTGTATATTGATTGCTTTGTGTAAAAGTTATAGCATCCAGGGGCAGACTGTCCATGGGGCCCCCAGGAAATAGGGGATCATGGGCCCCTGTGTCCTCGCCCACACTCAAAACACACCCAAAAAAGCCTATAAAAAGGTACCAGGGGCATCTCATGGGGCCCCCTACTGACTCTGGGCCCTCGGGCAGTTCTCGAATGGTCAGTCTGCCCTGATAGCGTCTACAAAACTATGGTATAGATCAGGGGTGTCCAAACTTTTTTCAAAGAGGGCCAGATTTGATGAAGTGAACATGCGTGAGGACCGAACATTTTGCGGCAAAAAAAATGAACGGAAAAAAGGAGCGACTGATACTAGTCATGACATATTTGAAATCTGTACTTGTTTCTCCCACACTAAAAAAAAAAAAAAAAGTGAAATTACTCTCACTAATTTCCTTCAATGCTTGAGAAGGGAGCGCACCTTTGCCTTTCATCGGCCTCAAGCATGCTCCGAAATACATTGCATTGCATGCTGGACATCCCTACATCATCACGCCAACATCAACATTGCACTCCAGGGTGGACTCTGGACACCATCTTTGGATCTCACACATGCCGGCTGGCTCCCTGTGAACATCCCGAGTCTCCTCCAGCGCTTATTACGGCGTATACATTGAGGACGCCGCCATGTCCTTCGCTTTCACCACATATGCCTAAGCCTTTCGTTTTCTTTCATCATGTGTTTCTCATTATGTTCCTCAATAAATGGACCACATATAGCACTTAGAGGCGCATTTCTCCTTTTTAGATATTGCCAAATTACCTGTGGGGCCGTATTAAACCGGAACACGGGCCGCAATTGGCCGACGGGCCAGACTTTGGATATGCCTGGTATAGATAATGGAATTTAACCATAAGCCGCCTGGCCAATGGCCGTTTGGCGGCTTCAAATGTGTTGCTGCATTCCGGGTGCACGCCATTTGGCGTGCTCCCGCACATGCGCAGTTTGCGCTAATGCAGAGCGGCGCAGCAGCGCGATCTGTCACCGGCCATGCACCTCGGACATGGCTGATGACAGATCCGAGTACCGGCTCCCGTTGCTGGTACCATGTGACCTGCTGTGACCAATCACAGCAGGTCACATGACAGTTGTATACAATGGATGGCTTCATTCATGCCATCCATTGTATACTAGTGCCTAGCTGTGAATGGTCACAGCTAATCACATGCACATGTCATGTGATTAGCTGTGACCAAATCACAGCTAAGCACAAAAAAAAAACAAAAAAATAAAACCCTGAATGAATCGATGTCATTCAGGTAAATGCTTGCTTATAGCAAAGTAATTCTTTGCTATAAGCAAATTGTGTAAAAAAAAAAAAAAAATACTGATCACTTCCCCAAAGTAGTACAATGTTACTCTGGTAACATTGTACTACTTTGGTCATAGTAAAAAATGAAAAAAAAATCTTTAAAAAAAATAAAAAAAATGTAATAAACAATTAAAAATAATAAAAAAATAAAAAAAATTAAAAACAAAATATATATATATATTTTTTTTATACTGTCACCAGTCAGTGTCCCTGATCACCGCCATGCCAGTTATATGATGACGCTGTACTGCACTGGTGACAGTATGTAAAAAAAAAAATAGTGAAAATAATTTTTTAAAATTTTTTAATTTTCCGAAAAATTATGACAAAAAAAAAAAAATACAACTTCAAAAAACTCACCATGCCTCTTATGAAGTACGTCGGACTGTCTACTCTGCAAAAAGGGGTCATTTGGGGGATATCTGTACTGTTCTGACATTTGGGGGATATCTGTCCTGTTCTGACATTTGGGGGATATCTGCACTATCCTGACATTTGGGGATATCTGTACCGTCCTGACATTTGGGGGATATCTGTACTGTTCTGACATTTGGGGGATATCTGTACCGTCCTGACATTTGGGGGATATCTGTACCGTCCTGACATTTGGGGGATATCTGTACCGTCCTGACATTTGGGGGATATCTGTACCGTCCTGACATTTGGGGGATATCTGTACCGTCCTGACATTTGGGGGGATATCTGTACCGTCCTGACATTTGGGGGATATCTGTACTGTCCTGACATTTGGGGGATATCTGTACTGTCCTGACATTTGTGGGGATATCTGTACTGTCCTGACATTTGTGGGGATATCTGTACTGTCCTGACATTTGGGGGATATCTGTACTGTCCTGACATTTGGGGATATCTGTACCATCCTGACATTTGGGGGATATCTGTACTATTCTGACATTCTTGGACCTCAAGAAATTAGATTGGCTGTCAGTACTTCAGGATTGATCAATATTCAGATCTATACCATAGTTTGTAAACTCTATAATTTTCCTACAAACTAAATAATACATCCTAATTTGGGTTATTTTCACCAAAGACATGTAGCAGAATACATCTCGGCCTAAATTTATGAAGAACAATTATTTATTTGTAAACTTTTATAACAGAAACAAAGAAAAATGTGGTTTTTTTTCAAAATTTTTGGTCTTTTTTTTGTTAATTTAGCAAAAAATAAAAACCCCAGTGGTGATTAAATACCACCAAAAGAAAGCTCTAGTTGTGTGAAGAAAATGATAAAATTTTAGTTTGGGTACAATGTTGTATGACCGCGCAATTGTCATTCAAAGTGTGAGAGCGCTGAAACCTGAAAACTGGCCTGGGGGGCAGGAAGGGGGAAAATTGCCCGGTATTGAAATGGTTAAAACAGCTTTTATTTGCTGACTGCTCATCACATTTCTTGAGGTGCTAAAATACCAGGATAGTACAAACACCCCCAAATGACCCCATTTTGGAAAGTAGACACCCTAAGCTATCTGCTGAGAGGTGTGGCCTTGGTGAACTTGGTGTGGCCTTCAGATGAGCCCAACAACAGTGCGTAGAGAGCTTCATGGAATGGGTTTCCATGGCCGAGCAGCTGCAGCCAAGCCTTCCATCACCAAGTGCAATGCAAAGTGTCAGATGCTGTGGCGTAAAGCACGCCGCCACTGGACTCTAGAGCAGTGGAGACGTGTTCTCTGGAGTGACCAATCACGCTTCTCTGTCAGGTAATCTGATGGACGTGTCTGGGTTTGGTGGTTGCCAGGAGAACAGTACTTGCCTGACTGCATTGTGCCAAGTGTAAAGTTTGGTGGAGGGGGGATTATGGTGTGGGGTTGTTTTTCAGGGGTTGGGCTTGGCCCCCTAGTTCCAGTGAAGGGACCTCTTAAGGCGCAAAAGTACATTTTGGACAATTTCATGCTCCCACATTGTGGGAAGAGTTTGGGGATGTCCCCCTTCCTGTTCCAACATGCCTGCCCACCAGTGCACAAAGCAAGGTCCATAAAGACATGGAGGAGCCAGTTTGGGGTGGAGGAAACTTGACTGTTCCTGCACAGAGTCCTGACCTCACCCCAACCCCATAGAACACCTTTGGGATGAATTAGAGTGGAGACTGTGAGCCAGGCCTCCTCCCCCGACATCAGTGCCTGACCTGACCTGAAATTGGTCCAACCTTGACCACTGTCTATGAAGAAGTGGGCATCTGGAGAGTGGAGTACTGTGAACCTCCGGTCCCATACAATGACACCCTCCCATAAACCTTGTGGACGGCCTTCCCAGAAGAGATGAGCTGTTATAGCTGCAAAGGGCGGGGGCCATCTCAATAATACTGTGGGCAATATAGTGTATTGGTTCATCGATCAATTTAAACGATCGATGCAGCTGACTAAATGATTCAGACATTCCCTGACAGAACACATTTAATTCATAACAGCTGCGATTCCTTTAGTGATGCTGTGATTGGCCCATAGCCATCACATGATATTTGAGCCAATCACTGTTTCTGGACCCCACATGAAGGGGCGAATGAAGGTAATATGGCTGCGTAACTTCCTACCTTCGTATCCAAGCAGTGGAGCAGACCGGACCGGCAGATCATGGTATTTAGATGGATCCAAAACGGTTAGAAATGAATCAGGTGGGTCAAATAAGCGAACACGCGGTGATCAGCATGAACGTATACTACGGAATGAATAGCGGCTGGGTTGTTTACTTGATCCAAATACAGCGACAAGCGGTGATACAATACTGGATAAGTAGTAGAGGTATTGATGCTGTCCTGTGATATTCTTTCCCTGAGGCTAACTGCTGGTCAAAAACTGATGCTTTCACAAGCCCAGGGTATTGAATGTCCTGTCACACAGCTATGAAGCACATAAAATGGCTGCAGGAAGTGACCAGAAACCAAGGTGCCTTGAAAAACCACGCCCAGCAGAGAAAAAGCTTTACTAACAAGAGAAGAGGCGTGCAGCATGCAAATTCTGACAGCAGATGGCAGCAAACAGATCAATGCATAGAAACGACATGGTGAAATAAGAATTGGTAATACAATGCACAGTTATAGAACAAATATGAGAACAGCACAATCACAGCACCCTGTACCATGTGATAGCCAATCACTAGACCAGCAACGGCTGGTAATGGGAAAACTAGAGTAATCACAGCATTATGAATGAAAATCCATTCATGACAGTTCAAATATTGCTGAATGATAATCATAGATGAAATCATAATAAAAATTGTGTTCCTAACCACCCCCCAGAGTAGTACAGTGTTTGCTATGGTACAATTGAACATACTCCAATGAAAGTATGTATAAAAAAGAGGAAAAAGAATATTATGAAAAAATGTTTTATCAACATTTTTATTTTTTTTTTTTCCCATCCAAGCACTTGTGACATTGCAAAAAAGAAAATTGTAATAAAAAAATTATCTTCTTCACCGTTCCAAAAAATAACAAAAAATTAAAACTTCAAAAAACTGATATTATAGCTAGATTTGGTTAAAATACTTGGATGTATGCACTACTTTCCAAAAGGGTCATTTGGGAGGGGTATTTTTTTTTTTTTTGTTTGACTATTTTTTAGAACAACCCCAAGATTATGAGATCGGCACGGGATGTTCTGGGACTGAAAAAGGGTGAATTTCAGATAATAGGTGCCTTCGTTTTTGTAGATTCTATAACTTTTTGACTTCTGTTTATCCGGCCCCTGTAGGATGAACGGCTGGAAGTTTATGCGCTGATTGTAACGGGTGTGGAGAGTTTTAAACGTCCCCCCGCAGTGATTGCCTGTGTGAAATTGATAGAGTAAGAAATGAATCGGCAACAGACCACAAATATGATTAGATATAGGTACTTTAGTAATTTACTCTTAAATTTTAAGGGTTTGCCTGAACAGCATAATTTAGATGACAGTTTTTTTTTCTGCCGATGATATAGGGCGTATGGAGATTTTAAACTCCCCCCTCATCCATTGGCTGTGTAGAATCTTAAAAGTAAAATGTAAAAAGTATTGAAACAGAAGCATTTGGGGCAGAAGCATTTATTTGTAATTAGGGTGGATTTATACCTTTTTTAAAGATTATGGATGTGAGGTGGTTGAAGAATTTTGTATTTTTTTTACTAGTGTTTTTTCACCGTCATGAGATGTTTTACTTTTCGCTCCTCCTTCTGAAAAAATAAAAAATGTTAGTGGAGAAATGGTTCCTCCTTTGCAAAGAACGTAATTGAAGAAGAATTAATAGTAATGGATGAGTTTTAAGCGGCAGAACATTACAAGGCGCGGTTATACTTTACCTCCATCGTCACGGCTTTTAGCTCTGAGCTTGTTGACCTGGGACTCAGCAATGTCGGCTCTCTCTTCGGCCTCTTCAAGCTCATGTTGGACCTTCCTGAAGCGGCCCAGGTGAGCATTGGCTTGTTCCTCCTGAAGAACACGGTTTAATCAATTGTCAGATTGCAAGTCGCAATGAAAGTCTGGCCTACAGTGTAGCCTTGCTTATGTTGCGCCCATCTACATAGGTGCCAGGATAGTGGAGTTTAGTTCTGGGGCTCACTGTAATCAGAGCAAGCTTCATGTGGTAGGTCTGGTTTGAAGGTTTGACTATCTCCTCCTGTTTAGAATGAGTGGTATTGGAAACATTAGGTGATGTTTTTCAATGGGATGTTCTGTTTGCAGGGACTAGCATGGTGGTTCTGGTACATAGGGTTTGAGTCAAGACAAATGGACAAGCATGAATGATAGTATACTGTCTCAGCCAATCTCTGTGGTAGACTGCACAGGTGGTTGCTGGGAAGGTGTATAAATAGTATGAGACCTGGAACATAGGTGTCTTGTCCCCTGAGGAGATCACAGCCTAGGGGGGGCCGGTTTCCCCTGGGTAAGCCTGCCATGTGTCTGCTGTTCGTGGAGGGTCCCAGTTACTTATAGTTACATAGTTAGTCTGGTCTGAAAAGACAAAAGTCCATCGAGTTCAACCAAAAAGAGAAAAACAAGTTATAATCCTACACCCACAGCTGATCCAGAGGAAGGCAAAAAAAAAAACAGCAAAGCACGATCTAATTAGCTCCTGCAGGGAAAAAATTCCTTCCTGATCAGATATTCCCTGGATCGACTTTACCTATAAATGTTAGTATCCAGTTACATTCTGTGTAATCTAGGAAAGATTCCAGGTCAGTTGGGCAGGCTGGAGGGCCAGTTTTTGCTGGAAGTTGCTGAGGCTGACTGCGGGGGGCCTGCTAACTGAGGATCTAGTCTGGTATCTCTGGGAAAAAGTGTCGGGAAGATATTGGAAGGAGGCAGCCAATCATCTAAGGCAGGGATATCAAACTGGTGGCCCTCCAGGTTTTGTGAAACTGCAAGTTCCATCATGTCTCTGCCTTTGGGTGTCATGCTTGCAATGCCTGATGGACTTAGTTTGGCAACAGCTGGAGGGCAGCCAGTTTGACACCCGTGATCTAAGGACATTAGTGAGCACAGACGTGGGGGGAGAGATCCTAGAGAATGTGCTGATGAAGCCCCTCTGGTGCTAGAGTCACCTGTTGTCCAAAGAGGACATTGTGTTTGGTGTCCTGAAGAGCAAGGTCTATTTAATTCCTAGTGAAAGGAGCTTCTACTACAAGGTTCTGGCCACCATTTACTTGTGCAAGGACTCATAATTCTGAAGAAGAAAGTGTCCTTCTGTTTGTACATGGTTTCGGAGTGTCCCATACAGTCCCTATCCCTATCTAAACTACCCAAAAGGAATTATTCATTGAGCCAAAAGGAGCGATTGAGTTTGGCTGAGAGGGGCGACTTCAGGAAAAAGACCCAAGGGACCTTTCACACTGCAGGCACCGCCCACACG